TCTATCTATCTTTGGTTTTTCCTGCCTTAATTTCATGACATTTGTTATCATTTCTTCCCAGATATCTTTCCGAGAACTCCATTTCTGGCAGTTTTTACGTTCCAGAAAACGTTTATTCTCTGTGAGTTATATGTGATGAAGTGCTTCTCAAAGCTGTGTGCCACAATTAAAGTACATTAAGGTTACTGCTAAAATATTGCTTTAAGCTTGTATTCTCCAAACGTTATGAATAAAATGATGATGAACAGCGAAAATTAGTTTTTCCTTTCCTTTCTCTTATTCATAAAAAAAATAAAATAATAAGTAAATAAAAAAGAAAAAAAAAAACGGTCGATAGATATATGGATGCATGAAAAAGCGTAATAGTAATAAATGAGGCTGCGTGAATTATTTTAGCCCACTGTCTAACACTTATAAGTTAATTTTAGTTATTGCATTTGTTTAGGATAATCAGTCACAACTTACTATCAATCGCTGATGTGAAGGTCATTCTGAAAGGATTAACACGGCTTAAGAAACTGTAAGTGTCATCTTTTGGGATGACTTAAAATCCCAAAAAATTATTTTCGAATGCTTTAGGCATATAATCGTTGAAGATATTCGCTAAATACTCGTTCATCACAGTTCGCACGAGTAGTTCGATTCATCAAAGTTTATAAGGAATTAAAATTTCACATCTAGGCCTATATGTAATCAGCAGATGGTTGCAACTCATTTCAAATGGTTTACTTTTACAGAGACCTTAGTGGAAATCCACTCGGACCTTCTCTGCCATCAGATATCTTCGCTGGGTTTGAAAATATGACACATCTGTAAGTCCAGTGGCTCCACAAATCACCAACTAATAAGAAGAATCATACTGAATGTTTGTCTCTCGATGTGGTGACGTTTGAAGTAATTCCTGGCTTTTCATCAGTGCATTTTTAGTTTATGTCAGACGCCGAAGTCGATTGTTACCTCATGAAGCATTATACTGTGCTATTATTCGCTGTGCTATACTGTGATGCGGCAATTCTGCTGTTGTATCAAATCGAGCGGTTTGTGCGAGTTGAGTGTCGAGTGTCGGCGCCGATAACAGTTGTTGAAAAGGATTATTCGTAGAAAAGCTGCATTCACATCCAAAATGACCATATCGTTATATTGCTGTATTTATAAACACGATTAAT